CAGGTGGTGGCTCAAGTAACTGGGTCCCCAGCACCCATGCGGGAGAACTAAGTTGAGTTCCCGGTTCCTGGTTCCTGGTTTCAGCCTGGCCCACGCCTGGCGCTTGTGGGCATTTGAGGAGTGAAAAGGGGGATGGAAGCTTATTGTTTCTCCCACTCAAAGAAATAAATTAATTAAAACAAAACAACAACCAAAAAATGTATTTATGGTATTACCCAAACTAATTTGGCCACAGAATCCCTCCTCTGCTATTCTGATAATATCTACTAAAATCCCAGGCAGCTAGGACTCCCTGGAACATACCATGGAAAATACTATGGAAGAGCAATTCAAATGCTGCAAAGAAAATGCTGAGCCTTGGAGAGGAGCAAATAACATATTTTTGAGCACTGATTGGGGGGAAACCATTTGGGAAGAGGCCTGGAAATCCTACATAACACAATGAGGAGGGGTGGGAAGAAGGGGATGTGGTCAAGGAAACATTCTAAAGGTTCCAATCCTGTTAAGACAGATGCCTCGGACCCCCCAAAGACTAGAAAGAAAGAAGATATGGGCCTCCTACCACTTCCAGCCCTCACTGCAACTCTGTCTACAGCAAGATGAGCCAGACAGCATTGCTAAGAAAGTGTACACTGGCTCCCCTCTCTTCTCCATCTCTCTCTTTGCCTTTCAATCTCAAGGGAAAGAATCTCAGATAGTTGTTTCCTTTGTGAAGTTTAAATCTTGGTTGTATCTGTAGAAAACAAGTTATTGTTGAGTGCCATGATGTTTAGTTTTCATTGTGGTTGTCCAATTAAGATACCACATTGATCACATTTAATCCTGGAGTTAAATTTTACATTGGGGCCAGCACTATGGCATAGTAGGCTAAATCTCTGCCTTCAGGGCCGGCATCCCATATGGGCACCAGCTGGAGTCCCAGCTGCTCCATTTCTGATCCAGCTCCCTGCTAATGGCCTGGGGAAGCAGTGGAAGATAGCCCAAAGCAGTGGAAGATAGCCCAAGTGCTTGGGGCCCTGCACACACATGGGGGGCCTAGAGGAAGCTCCTGGCTCCTGGTTTTGGATTAGCCCAGATCTGGCCATTGTGGCCTTTTGGAGAGAGTGAACCAGTGGATGGAAGACCTCTCTCTATGTCTGTAACTCTGCCTCTCAAATAAATAAAATAAAAATCTTTAAAACAAACAAATAAATAAATAAATAAGTTTTACATCAAGGCAGAAAGGTCAGAAAGTATAATTTTTATTGCATCCTGAAGATGCACCATTATGGTGATTTTTTAAAAGTTGTATGAACATCATATAGGATGATGTTCTGTAATAAGAGAGAATGGAGCTGTCCCCCGAAGTCACCCTTGCAGGCCTTCTATGGACTCTGTAGATGAGAGCCCCTAGAGCCTGCATTGTCAAAATGCTACTCACAGGCTTGGGAAACAAAACCGTATCTTCTACTTAGCCTAAGTGAAGTTATTGAGCAATGCCAGAACTTTTCTAAAATTGAGTGTGCAGTACAGAACTGGCAGAACTGTGGAATGTGAGAGCTTCAATTGCTTTCAGTGAAAACAGACAAACTCAGGAATACCACCCCTCAGTGAGAACGCAACTGAGCCCTGGCCTTATCAATCTCCCTGTCATTTTCTGTGAGTATTTTCCAGCCCCAAATTGGGTCAGCTGGGTCTCAGAATGGTGGCTCTTGGGTATATTTTTTATGGTAAAGATTAACTGGCACAGTCAAGTCATCCAGAGAATCAGAGTGAATAGTATGTATTTGGGTGTATGGTGCATGTTTTATAAAGATGCATTTGTTTTTGTGAAAGAGAGAGGGAGAGAGAGAAATCTCATCTTCTGGTTCACTCCCTAAATGCCCTTACAGCCAGGGCTGGGCCAGGTCAAAGACAAGGGCCAGGAACTCCAGCTGGGTCTCCTACGTGAATAGCAAGAACTTAAGTCCTTGGGCCATCATCCCTTGCTCCCAGGCACAGCACAATACATTTTTAAACATACTGATTACATAACAGAATTCATGAACGAAAACGTGTTTCGTATTTTGGGGCCTTCCTGAAGGGTTAAAACTTGGCTTTATTTATTTTATAAATATTTTTTAGCTTTACTCAGATGAAATTTCTATTGTCTTGTCAACGTAAGAATAAGATTTAAAGTTTTAGCAATGATAATTTAAACTTTTGATCCTTGTTTTCACTTCACACTAACAATTTTTTCTTTAGTCTCTTTAAGGGTAGATATTCTTCAGAAAGGACTTTTCCTCTACCAAATTTACATCCACTTTGTAAAATCATAGACATTTTTTATATATTGTTGGTAGAAATGTAATTTAGGACATATTTTTTGAAAGGCAGTTCCCCATATTGTACACGTTCATGTTATATATGTATATACACACATACATACATACAAACATGTATTCATTCATATGTAGTTTTGGACAATTTTCTAGGAATTTTCTTACAAAAATATTAGAAAATCTCCCTAGATAGTTTTCTATAAAGATATTCCCTGCATTCTTTTAAGGGCTTACAGGAGAAAAAGCAGGATCAACTTAAATACCCATATTTATTCAAAAAGTTGAATAAATTGCATTATAGTGATATAATGGCCTATTATGTATTCATCAAATTATTTGTGGAAGAATAGCAAATGTCATGTTCAAGTTTTGGAGCTATACTGACAAAGCATCTTACACAACACTACACACAACATAATAAAGCCACGTTTAACTGTGTCCAGAAAAAATACTGGAAGAATATGTGCCTAAATGTTAACAATGGGTTTACTTGAGTGATGAACATACAGATGGATTTTTACCTTTTCTTACAATCTTCTCTGTTTTCTGAGTTTCCTGAGATGAATGTGTATAATTTATATGCTAAATAACCAAAGTAAATGCTGCAAGCTTCTTGATATATTTGTACTCTTTGATCTAGAAATTCTGTTTGTAGGATAATATCCTAACCTAAGGAAATAAATAGATGTACACATAAAGACATACTACAACTATGTTCTTTGCTGACTTGTCAATAATAAGAAAATACTGGAAGCAACTTAAATACCCACCAACAGGGGACCAGCTGTTAAAAATGACAGTGCATTCATGCGCTGGAGTATTGTGCAATCTTTAAAATCAGATTCTTGAAAATATTTAAGAATGAGAGAAAACGCTTATGAAATACTAAGTGAAAAGGGCAGATAGGCGGAGAGACAGAGAGACACAGTGCAATTACAATTCTACTTGCCCTGGAAGAATTTTAGAATGCACATTAATACCTTAACAGGGATTACCACTAGGTGAAGTTATTTGAAATCTGTGTTGATTTTCCTTTCTAGTGATTGTCTATGCTTTCAACAATGTAATTTTTAGCTACAGAAAAATTATGTAAACAATAAATAAACTTGTTTTACTGCTTACAATATTAAGATACAGAATTTATAGGAGCAGGAGCCCTCTAAATATATTTTCCAAATCATGTCTACTCAGTGTATCGGTGTACCACAGAGTAACACAAAGATACTTAAATATTTTTAGTCTCTGGGTCTCTCTGACAAACAATAGAACCAAAAAGTTTGTTTTACTCTGGAAGATCCATAAAACAGAGAGGAAAGGGATATGCAGGGGCTGGCCCAACTCGCATTTCCAAACTGTGACACTCGGCTGTCTTAATCATTTACCCTTTCAGAATCTAAGTAGGCAAAGGTCAGAGTAGTTTCAAGCCCAGCACACCTCGCCTCCCTCTTCAGATGCACCGGCTACATCCACAGCATGAAGCTGAAGGTTTTGAAGTGCAACAAGAGAGGTTTTGCCTTTAGCACAGTTCAAGTAACAGTCACTGCTTGATAGAAATAATGATAGATAGATAGATAGATAATAGAAGAAAGAGAAGAAGGAAGGAAGGGAGGGAGGGAAGGAGAATTTTTTGAAGTACTCTGAGGAGAAAAAATATTTGCATGTACTTAATTACTTAATACAGCTTGTATGTTGCAGAAGGTCTAAGATTATGATTGCCAGAGCTGGTGCTGTGGCGCAGCGGGCTAAAGCCCTGGCCTGAAGTACCGGCATCCCATATGGGCGCTGGTTCTAGTTCTGGCTGTTCCTCTTCCAATCCAGCTCTCTGCTGTGGCCTGGGGAAACAGTAGAAGATGGCCCAAGGCCTTGGACCCCTGCACCCATGTGGGAGACCCAGAGGAAGCTCCTGGCTCCTAGGTTTGGATCTGCACAGCTCCGCCCATTTCAGCCATTTGGGGAGTGAACCAGTGGATGGAAGACCTCTAACTCTGTCTCTTTCTCTGTAATTCTACTCTGTCTTTCAAATAAATAAAATAAATCTTAAAAGAAAAAAGGATTATGATTGCATATTGCATGACCCCAAAATTCCTCCATGTGCTGCCTCCACTGTGTGGACTCAATGAGTGTCTCCTGAAAGCCTGTATGTAAAACACACTTCTAACTATAAGAGAAAAAAAAAAAAAAAAAAAAAAAGAACCAACCCAGCTTTCCTTCCTAGAAGACGACTAGACACATTTCCCCGGATCTCATGTAATCTTTCAGTGTCTCTTTTCTCCAAAAAGGTGGATGAAATAATCATTGACATTTACGGATTTTGTTTCACGTGGTGTAATATCACCTTAAAAGTGCAGGTTAAAAATCATTGCCTCATAGTCCAAAAATATCACTAGTGAAATTCACTAAACACATCTAGTTTTAAAGCCTGGAGAGTTTATGTAAATATTAAGCGTAGGATGCTGTGTATGGTGGTGTCTCCCAGTGCTGATTTTTGACCCCATCCAGCTCATTCACTACTTTCAAGTTTCATGATATGCTTGGCAAATACAACAGGGCACGAATTTTCTGCTTCCAGACAAACAGGCAGAACTGAAACCCAGGGCAGATAAAGATCAGACCGAGGAAATAATTAAAAGGTGGAGAGTGAAAAGAAATGGAAAGCAGACATGTGAACTTAGGACAAGTAAAACAAAAATTAATATTTACTTTGTTTGTCCGTTCTCCGTGTACGTGGTTTTATAAAACCCCACGAGGGAGCCGTTCAGCCAGCCAGCGAACTCCAAGGTCAAGAGGTAGTAAGCTTCGCCAGTGGTGGCTGGAAGCTGTTCCCCCGCCTCGACGACCAAGTACTCATGAGTCTCATACTTGAAGCACCGCCGAACTTGCACCTGCTCGCCGGAGGGTCTCTTCAGCTGCGGCAGCTGGGTGATCCTGGTCTCCCGCAGGTGCAGCCACAGGTGTTGGGTGGGCAAACTCACGTTGATGGAGATGGTCACTGTGCCCGTGTACGTGTCCTCCTCCAGCTGGGGCCTCATCTCCAGGTCATAGTGTACGGGGTTGATGGACGCCGGCAGCCTGAAATTTTTCCACTCTCCACTGTCATCTTCACTGGCAGGGCAGACCCCCTGGTCCTGTGGAGGACGATCGGAGGGACTGGCAGAGGTTGGAAACTGGGAAGGAGACGGGGATGAGCCCTGGCCAGAGTCTGCCGAGGAGTCACACGATCTGGTCAAGCCCACGGAAAGTCCCACGATTAGTCCCACAGCCACCACCACGCCGCAGATGATGGCCACATGTTTTCCTCTGATGCAGTATCTCTTGGCCTTCTCCTCCTCGGCAAACTTCATTTCTGTTTCCGAAGTCGAGGGTTACACATAAGAGGATGTGAAATTTAACTAACTCCCGTCAGCTGACTTCCTTTTTAAAAGGAATTGGAAAGAGTCCCCTGGTTTGGCAGCCGCCTTTCGCTTTCCCCACACCTCTCTCTCGGGCTCCTTGCGTCTTGGTCTTGCTCGCTCTCTGCAGGATCCCGCCAGCTGCTCAGGGATGAGCAAGGAAACAAAGGGGGTGGGACAAGGGCTGAGTTGGAGGAGAGGACTGCCGAGAAGATCGGCCCGCAGCTCCCCTTATAAACAAGGCGTCCCCACCCCTACCCCTCCTGCACCGCAGTGAGTTAAATATAAATCAGGGTTTAGCTTATCAGCCAAGGGGAGGATGATCTTCTGCCAAAGCTCTGTCAGCAGCTTTGAGGGAGAAAACCCTTGGGTAAGAGGTGTGCTGGCCATAGAAAAACTCAACCTTTGCCACCCGTTCTGATTTCTTCCTGCTGTGTTCATACTCTCTCCCTTCTCGAATTTCAGCTGTCTTATCAGGTAGCTTGCCAAAGAGGCTGCTTTCATCCTTTTATCTCATGTTCTGTAAACATCCCAATTCTGCCCTCGGAGAAGTCCTATCCTGGAGATGGGTGTTGGGAGTGAGACATGAATTCCAGACCGCGTAGGTACTCTGCTGATGATATTTGTTGAACTGGCAGAGTAGTAAAACATAGCCAGGTGACCATAAGTTAATTCAGTGAATACTGGATGAAAAAGGGGTGGGGGGTGGGGGTGGGGCTGAAGAACTGAGCCAAATTCACAATAGAGCTGGGGAAGGGGAAAGGAAATGAGAGAGAAAGCAAAAAGAGGACACTCCAAATGTTAGGGGAGATAGGTGGTAGGTTCTTGTCTCCGTGCAAGAAAGGATTCAGACGTGAGACAGAGAACAGCGGGAAGCAGGGAAGCAAGGTTTATTGGGGTAGGGCATCCGTCAGAATGGATGGGACAGAATCAGAGTGCCCGGTCACGCAGACTGGGGAAAGCCAGGTTATATGGTTTAAGGCAGCCAGGCAGGCGGCTCAGCAGAGAACTGAGTGCTCATCGTGCACTCTGTATTCAGTCAGGGGCTCCTCCTCCCCCTCCCCGTCTCCCTCCTCCTTCTCTTCCCCCTTCCCCCTTTTTCCCCTTCTCTTCCCCCTTCCCTCTTTTTCCTCTTCTCTTCCCCTTCCCCCTCCTCCTCCCCTCTCCCCCTCCCCTCCCCCTCTCCTTCCTCCTACTTCTTCCCCCTTCCCTTATCCCTCCCTCCCTCTCCTCCTACCTCCTCCCCCTCCCCCTGCCTCTTCACCTCCCCCTCTCCCTACCCCCCCCCCCCCCCCCCAACAGAGGGTTTGCTTAGTGTGAATCAAGTGAAAATTCCTCCCAGGTTTGGAGCACACTCCAGCTGCAAAAATTGGCCTATTGGGAGCCCCATTATCAATGCAATCCTGTTATATCTGAATGACAAGGCCTGGGGGGAAATCACAATGACCTCCACGTTTATGGATACCTTACTCTTTATTTTATTTTTAAAAAAGACTTGTTTGCTTATTTGAAAGACACACAGAGGGAGATGGAAAGAGAGAGAGATCTTCCATCCACTTATTTACTTCACTTGTTTACTGTTGCTTACAACAGCCTGGTCTGAGCCAAGTCACAGACAAGAGTCAGGAACTTCATTCTGGTCTTCCACATGGGTGTCAGGATCCCAAGTACTTGGGCCATTTTCCGCTACCCTCCCAGGCACATTAGCAGGAAGCTGGGTGGAAACAGAGAAGCTGGGACTTCTACAGGGCCTCTGATACAGGGCTCAATACCCTGAGCCACAACTCTGGCCCCTTGTGGGTATCTTAGGTGCAGGCTCCCAAGTCACCTCTAACAGTAGCAATATAAAAATAATTATCAAAATGTTGAGAGCTTTTTATGTGCTAGGCACTATGCTAAGTACTTTGTAGAAGTTATTTAAAGCTTCCCAACAATACTGGTACTACTGATTGGTATGGGCTAGGCAAGGAGTTAGTTATTGAAGAGAGGAGCTGGGTGATTTCCAGTAGTCTCTATGTCTTACAGCCCTGAGTCAATAACTCCACCTCCTTGCATGCCAATTCAGCATGTCCCCTTTCCCACAATGCACCTGTGTCTCCTTTATGATGAAGATGCCATTGAGACTGAACCCTTAAAATATAAAGGCAGGATCCAAGCTTTCTTCTTTCTCCCTTAGCCCAAGATATCTTTATCTGTCCTTAACAAAAGGAATTCACTAAACTGAGGGAGTGATACAGCTGGCCCAAGAGGGTTCTAATCGCTGGACTCAAGAAGTCATTTGCTTCTCCAATAGCAAAATCCTGTTGGCAAGTATAGTTCAGCAGGGGTTGTTTATGAGAATTCCAGGTCCAGACAGGGAAAGTCAAGGTCTGGAGTGTCCCGTCCTGCGGGACAGCAACTAGGGCCGAGCACCTAGAAGGAGAACTGAAGGGGACAGGAGACACAAAGATGGCAGCAAGACAAGTGTCCTGATCAAGCTGCGATTTTATTTTTCAACCACACTCTTATATATCATAAAGGCAAGGTGTCGGGCGGGGGAAGGAGGGGCGTTTAGGAGGGCAGGACGTGGGGTGGGGGAGGGAGGGGGAGCTTATCTTGTAGCTGCAATGCTTGTGCAAGTAGGGGAAAGGTTACAAGGTCTTAAGGCACAAGGTCACACAAGGTTGCGTGATCAGTACTATCCGGCCTGGGCTGTCTAGTCCTGCCTCACTAGTTTTCCACTAAGAGGCCACAAGCTGTGTGGTCCCCGACACTGGAGCAGAAGGCATGCCACCCCGACAGACCAACTGAAGCCCACCGACCATCATAAATTCCCCAAAGAGCATGGCATCACCAACCATCAAAGGAAGGTCATGAGTATCATTGACCAGTAGTGAACTTGGACATGAGCTGATCTGCACCTTTCAGCCCCAATTTCAGTCTATAAGAACTTTTACCCCTAACTCCTTGGGGATACCAAGAATTAAGCAATAGCTGCCCAGCTTCTTGCTCTCCACTTTGCAAAAAAAAAATCTACTTTCTTCAACCACCCTGTTGTCAGTGATTGGCTTTCTGCACATTGGGTGAGCAGACCCAGATTTGGGGGTTCTATATAAGTACCTCCAACTAGTTTGAGTTATTGTTTGCAACACTATGACCCTTGCACCCTGATCTCCAATTGGAGATGCCGTGAAAACCTTCCCAGAGATCATCATGTGCACCAAACTCCACCTTGTTTGTATATTCAATTAGGGCACCACCGCCCTACTCAATAAAGGTGACCACTGAACTGGGGAATGGCTCATTTCTCTCCTCATGGCACACATCCCACCTCGTGGGGCTGCTGCGTTCACATTTGAGTTTGCTCTCTCTCTCTCTCTATCTACCTCTACCTCTTTAAGTAAATCCTGCTCCCATTCTTCTACTTTCTCTATGTTACTGCTTTGAATTTTTATCTCACACAGACGCAAGAACCTGGAATAAATTAGCTGGGCCCAAGTCTCCACAACATTATGATACCCATTTTAGACACGGAGAGACTGACATAGAAAGATTGACATTGATCAAAGTCACACAATTGATCAGTAGCAGAAAGGCCGGTTGAACCACTTATCTGAATCGAAATTCCACGTACCTAAAAGTACTACATTCCAGTGCCTCCATGCTTTGAGGAGCAGGGACATTCCAAGGTTAAGTACCAGTGAAAAACTTTGTCAGAATTTCACAAAGTACAATCCATGGTTATTAATAGATATGCTTGCAGAACAGGCAATGCTGGATTAGATAAACTGGAAAAAAAAAAAAAAAACCCTGCCCACCATTCTCTCAGTGCCTCCAGATGGTGACACACATTGTAAGGCTCCCAGAAAGGAAACACCATGGAGTAATTTCCACATTTAGTCGACGGCAGAACTTTTTTTGGTGAGGTTTCTTTAGAGGCATTGTGTTCCATGGAGAACGCTCTTAAGAGGTTCTACTTTGAACTGCTCTAAATTTAAAATGGGATTCTTGGCTAATGCCTTCCTACGGCAGGTAGACTGATTCAGAAGATCCACATTGAAATCTTTACTTAGCATAGAGTTGATTTTCTATATATAAAGGTAGGTAAAAATGACTCTTAATGAAGAATGGGGTGGGAGAGGGAGTAGGAGGTGGGACAGTTTGGGGGTAGGAGGGTGGGTATGGGGGGGAAGAACTGCTATAATCCAGAAGTTGTGCCTATGAAATTTATTAAATAAAAACTATCTATAAAAATGAATATGTAGTGTACTTCTCAGTCTCACTCAGAAGTTCAGTTTCCAGCTTTTCCCCAGGGCTCTAGGAATTATACATTCCACAGAAACCACTGGGCCTCCTGTGGACTCTGATGCTGCTGGCTCACTGGTGCGTTACGACCTTTTCTAAAAATGTCTCTGGGGGCTGGTGCTGTGGCTCACTTGGTTAATCCTCTGCCTGCAGTGCTGGCATCTTATATGGGTGCCGGGTTCTAGTCCCGGTTGCTCCTCTTCCAGGCCAGCTCTCTGCTGTGGCCAGGGAGTGCAGTGGAGGATGGCCCAGGTGCTTGGGCCCTGCACCCCATGGGAGACCAGGAGAAGCACCTGGCTCCTGGCTTTGGATTGGCACAGCACCTGCTGTAGTGGCCATTTGGGGGGTGAACCAACAGAAGGAAGACCTTTCTCTCTGTCTCTCTCTCTCACTGTCTATAACTCTACCTGTCAAATAAAATTAAATTAAATTAAATAAAAAAATAAAAATGTCTCAGCAGTGAACACAACTCTGATTATTTGGCTGGCCCTTTATTCCTTTCAGTTTTTTGTTGTTGTTGTTGTTGTTGTTTTCCTGATAGTTGCACCCTATAGCTCAGTCACATAACAAACAAAACTGCTCAGCTACATTCCCAATGAAGGAAGCAGAACCTGCAAACTGGGCTGTCTTAATCCAGGAACAAGGAGGATCTAAATAAGTCTCTCTGTCTTGCTACAATCTCCTTATATGCAACTGTGAAAATTTATAAATCCTCACGATGGATCCAGACATCTCCAAATTTTAAAGGTGGAGAGCTGACAAAGGAGCGCACATTCTATTTGACTTGATTCATCCTGTATTCTAAATCCATACTGGTCATTCTTTATGAGCCCAATCAATTAGTTTGCACTTTCAATGCTTGTGCCCTATTCTTGATCTTTAATTTGGCCTCAGCAACAGCTTTTAAAACTTCATCTAGTTTTAAGACTAAGTCAAAGAGATAAACTTTTTCT